CTCATTTTCCTTTTTCTTCCCCCTCCCCTTCCCTTCCTCCTCCCCTCTCCCCCATGCACCCTTAATAATTTATAAATTATTATTGTATCTTAGGGAGGGAAATTTTTAATTAGCGTGTGTTTAATAACTTTAAACTTTTTTTTTCTTTTCCTTATTTTTAATTTTGACCCATCAAAAATATTCATCCCTTAATTACTTCATTTTTCCATTTTTAAATCTTTGGTGATATAAAATCAAAAGATCATTTTGGAACACCTAAAAACTAAGTGATAGAAAAAATTTTAAGTAAAACTATTTTAGTGCAAAGATTATTATGGAAAGATATATATTTGTACAAAAGTATATGTACACATCAATAAAAAACAACTACAATAAAGTGAGTAGATAGAAAAGTTTGAAAGAATAATTTCGAGGTATAGACTTAGTGTTGAGTGCTGTGGAACTTGAAAGAGAACTTAGCGTAGTGGTAAACTCTGTTTACTTCCTTTTTGTTCCGTTTACTTCTTGACTGAACTATGTCACTCCTTTTTATACAACTTGTTTTGAACTAGGCATTTGTGTGGAAAGATTTAATTTGGTTTTGAAAGAACAAAAAACCATTAGAAATTTTTCTTGAAATATATGGCATATTTCTCTTCATTTTTAGTTATTCTTGGAGGTAAGGAAAACTGTGAAATAGCTCCTTCCAGAAAAACAGTCCCTGAATTTTAAATTAATTGAAAGCATTACTTTTAAGAAAATTTCTTTAGAGGGCTTGGAGTTGTAACTCCTAGCTTGGGCCTCGGAAGGAGGAAGTTTAGTAGGAGGAAGAAGACATGCATATGAATTAATACCTATATCCACTCCATGAAAGAGTTGGTGGTGGTCCCCATACTACATGGTGAAACCAAGGGTCAGAATAGTTAATTATGCGAAGGTCTCATTGAGTGATAGAGAAGGGATTTGAAGCCTGGTCTGTCTGCCTCCAAAGCTGCTTTCCACTCTAACATGCTTCCTCCTATGCTGTACCAAAATACTTTTGGGAACTCTAACCCAAATTTCTTTAAGGGAGACCCCCTTTGAATCCAAACTTTTGTGATTTATCAAATTAGATCCTGTTTTAAGGGCATACCTAAATAGGTTATAACCCAAACTCAGTCTTTACTGGTTCATTATGTCTGGAGCTAAACTCTAACATACTCCTATAGGCAACCATTTGGCATGTTCAACACACCACCATCCGGAGCAAATAAGGTCCGCTTAATCTTAGCTAGCATTTACCACTTTACCAGAGTAGTGCTAATATGCTCCGTTTAGATTCTTTGGTCATGAGTACTTTGGAATCAGAACGGTAATAGCACTGTGAAGTGTTTCACGGCATCTGTGGCACAACTCAGACATCTAAATCACAGTTGGCATTTAAGATGTTACTTTTCTTTTTTAATAGTCAAATTCGCTAAGGAAGGGAAATTTTTTCTTGATAAATGACCACATATGGGTACCATATGGGTATGGTAACCCATCATGATTTTAAATATATGTGCCTGCGAGCCAAATAATTTAATTGTTAGTGCCCTGCTTTTCATTCACACATATTTTAAAGCAAGATTAAGTTTGAATATACAATGTTCCTTATAATTTTATCAGTTTATAGACTTTTATTTCATTGTATCTGTAGAAGAGAATAACTTTACCAATTTCACTTTTTCAATACTGGAGTAATAATTTATATACTGAAATGATATAAATTATTGTTAAGACCTCAGAAGCACTATGTTCTCAAATACCTAGCTACTTTTCAAAACTACTTTCAAACTACAGTTTTCTGCTTTGCTTCTAAATGTATACCATTCTAAAGATCCTAATGTTATAAAGTGTACTAACCTTTAGGGTTTTGCTTTTATGTTTGCCTTTCAAGTTGAAGAATCTCCAGAAGGCACCATTTCTGTGAGCCAAGTTAAGCAAGAACCCAAAGAAATAGCCTTGTCTGTGGAAGCAGAAGAAAATTTGGACTGCAAGAAATTACCTGCCACATGAATGACTGAAGCTTTTCAGAATTGACAGCTGTGGTTGGTGACTTCTGATACCTGAAAAAAGAAGGTGAATCTTGTCAGAGTATTGCCATTCTTCAGGACGATGCGATAAGTGGACTGAAGACTGATTCGATGAGCAACTTTAATTTAAAACTGTTGCCAATTTGATGTTTTTACCTTCTTTAAGAGACATTTTACTCTTCTTATTTTATATAATTATTATGCTTTCTGGTTGTCTAATAAGGCCCATATTTCAGAAGATCATCTGAATTTATCCATGAAGATGTAGTCAGAACACAAACAGTTATCTAACTCATCCCCTGGGAATAACCCATTTTTTGGTAATGAACTAAGAAAAAAGAAGATCAACAGAAACCTGTTTGAGTATATGTTTGTTTGTGTTATGATTATTTCCCCAAGTTGTAAAGGAA